GCTTTGCTGCAGGAGGGACTGGTGCACTTCACAAAATAGATAGCATCATGAGGAAGGAAGATTATGTGGATAGATTGAAGCAACATCTCAAGTCATCAGTCAGGAAGTTAAAGCTTGGTTTCAAATGGGTCTTCTTAATGGACAATGACCCCAAGCATACTTCCAAAGTTGTGGCAAAATGGCTTAAGGACAACAAAGTCAAGGTATTGGAGTGGCCATCACAAATCCCTGTCCTCAATCCTATAGAATATTTGTGGGCAGAACTGAAAAAGCGTGTGTGAGCAAGGAGGCCTAAAACCTGACTCAGTTACACCAGCTCTGTCAGGAGGAATGGGCCAAAATTCACCCAACTTATTGTGGGAAGCTTGTGGAAGGCTACCCGAAACATTTTACCCAAATTAAACAATTTAAAGGCAATGCTACCAAATACTAATTGAGTGTATGTAAACTTCTGACCCACTGGGAATGTGATGAAAGAAATAAAAGCTGAAATAAATCATTCTCTCTACTATTATTCTGACATTTCACATTCTTAAAATAAAGTGGTGATCCTAACTGACCTAAGACAGGGACTTTTTACTAGGATTAAATGTCAGGAATTGTGAAAAACTGAGTTTAAATGTATTTGGCTAAGGTGTATGTAAACTTCCGACTTCAACTGTATGTGGGAACTCCATCAAGACTGTTGGAAAAGCATTCTTCATGAAACTGGTTGAGAGAACGCCAAGAGTATGCAAAGCTGTCATCAAGGCAAAGGGTGGCTACTTTGAAGAATCTCAAATATAAAATATATTGATTTGGTTAACACTTTTTTTGGTTACTACATGATTCAATATGTGTTATTTCATAGTTTTGATGCATTCACTATTATTCTACAATGTAGAAAATAGTAAAAATAAAGAAAAACCATTGAATGAGTAGGTGTGCCCAAACTTTTGACAGGTACTGTATATCTAATAATATTATGTCCCCCCACTTCTAAAACCAAAGTTGTGGCCCCTGTTCAGAACTGTCTGTTTTGCTAACAGTGATTGAGTTATATTATTAGCCTTAAAAATGACTATGCAATCTATCAAGTCACAACAAAGCCGACTTCAAATGCCGACATTCATAGCATGTGAGTTTCGAGTTTGGGAAAGCAATTTCTTCACCAAATTGTTTAATAAAATGTCACCTTTTATAGGCCTAATAAAAGATTGAATGCATCTATCATCGCACTTACAGACTAATGTAAGATAGGCAACTATTCCTAATGTGATGAGTAGTTGTATTATGGATCTATTTCAAGTTCCACTGTATGCGCCATTCCACAAGTAAATTAGTAACACTGCATTTATGATAAGGTTGAGTAGTGGTTAACATTGTATACTGTTTCACAGACCTTTAAACCTAATATTGCAGTGATATTTAATGGCTGGGGTCATTTGTTTGTTTTCGCAGTTTTCCAAATAGCATTTTATTGTTTTTAAATTGTGTAGAAATGCAGTAAATGAGCTTCAACTTCAACCCCCCTCCTCCGACCATTCGCCAATCAATCCAATATCCACCCATATAGACAACATATGACATACAGGCTGGGTACTGCTTTTCTGCGACCTGCATCGCAGCATCATCCGTAGGATGAAGATAACAAGTGCGCCGCGACTAGAGTCGGTGGACAAAACACAGGGACAACTCCTAAAACATTGACATAAATAATTTTACCTTAATAACGTCACTTGTTTTTTCCTTGCCACCTGCTTCGAAACCGATGAGCCGAGGCGACAATTTAGGACGAATATTAGTCAGGAATGCAAAATTCGGAGCACCTACGGCGCTTGCGTATTCCGGGCCCCGGACCGCCATTCATCAATTTACAGACAGTAGCGCACTATTTGGCAAAAAAACACCGACTTAGCCACGGTCGAGGCAGCTGCGAGGCCAGTAACAATTACAAACGCATCGTAATGAATGCTCACTTGTTACAGAATCCAAGTCTGCAAACAGGATGAATCAGACCACAGCCCAGCCAGATCAATAGGACTGTTGTGGCCAGCCTGGTCAGGGTTAGGAGGGGCTGCCTGCCGCATCCCCTTGGAAAAAAACACACCTATTTATTAGCAAAGCCATCAAGTTACGGGATGTAGCCTCATGCCATGGCACCTAATGCAAATCCAACCTGTTATAGCCTAACTGTCACGCAGCCACGCACTGTTATTTTCTTTATTGAAAAACAGAGAATAGAATAACAATGAATGCACTTGTTGAGCAACTGAAAGCATCATCACCATTTTTGTATCTCCTGAAAGTTAGAAAATAATGTTGTCCATAGATAAATTGTTGTAGTTTATTCTAGCTAATATTTTCTATTGTTGTAAAATGATCGAAGCTTATCAATGCCTTCTGAACACCTGCCAATGAATGACCTGGCCTAGAATATATTCTATCGCCCGCATAGAATGTTTGTTTCATGACAACAAAGTGGCGTTTACATTATTCCTCCGCTACATTTATATATTGTAGCCTAACTCTTGTATTCCTTATCTGGACCAACAATCTCCTGCTGGCCATGACCATGAAAAAGTATCGGCAGCAGGATGACTGGACTACCCTGGCCACTCCTCAAGTACCATTCGCCCAGACAATCTCTGCTAGTGCTACAGTTCGTTCGCAAAAATACTCGGAAAGAAGTGATGCTCTGTTTGAAACCCCATTATATCGCATGCACTCTCAACGGCGCGTTCACAAGCAATTCACGCGAATCAAAGGTAATTCATCTCACCTCGTGTGCTTCAATATCGGTGTTTCTGCAAGCTTGCGGTCCGTTCCACTCCCTGCAATTCCACCATCTTTCGTTCCACACCTCTCTCACTCTACCCGGCTAGGCTGGGCAGCAGTCGGTCTGTGTGATGTGCTGAGAGCGAGCTGCCTCCCTCCCCAGCCCCTCCTCCCCAGCCACCGTGACATCAGAGGGAGATTACAAACAATGCACAAAGCATCTTTAAATGGGGAAAATTGTGTCCAGCACTGGACAGCCGCTTCAGCTGTCTTGAAAGGCTTATATTGTCTACCCTAGTTGAACACACAACACATTTCTGGTCCGTTTCATTTATCCATGCTATTTTGCATGTCAGTTCAATTTTACCCCATTCTTCTTGTCAGTTCTGTACTTAGTCATGGTGAAACAATTGGATTCCATTTATAGGCTGTCATGTGATGTCCAAACATTTAGCTAGATAGGCAGAAGTGAAAGAGAGAAGTATTCTATGGCAATGGAATAGCAAGGAAGTTTTAGTCAGAGATGTAATAAATAGTTTACCTACATGTTTATTACATATTTTCCACCTATTACCCATTCTTCATCTATTTCATCCATCTTCCCACCTCTCACGTAGTGACAAAGTTGTATATTCCAGATAAGCTTTATTAAGCTTGGTAAGCAGTTAACAAAAACAATGTATGTTGAGACAGGAGATATAATTGTATTACTCTATAAATAAATACAAAAATAATCAAAGATGAGATGCTAGGCATATTAACATTGGACACACCCTCCCTAAAACAATTTTACAATAAATTAAAAAAAAGAAAGTAAACAGAAAGTAAGAAGCTACATTCTCTTTTAGAAACTAATTGAACCTTTGTAAAAAGAATGTTTCTGCATATATGTATAATTCTTATCATATTCTAACGTTTGTGTTCTAATGTCTGTAAGTAGCCCTAGTATGCAATACAACAAACCCACGTGGTAAAATGAGTAAGGATATGCTTGCATTCATTCATTCAAAAGATGGTGACACAGGTAGAATGAAATATGCTCAATGACAGCTGACAACAATTGACAGCTCAGAGAAAACTAAAACAACAAAAACAAATGTAGCTTTGATAGTTTAAGACAAATAATTTTCATCATTCAGGACACAGTGGTTTTGAGATGAGAAGGGTCTCTTACATAATGCTTAGGTTATATATCGTCTTCTTAATTCTTCTAAACATAGGTAACAGAGAACATTGTAGTGGCCGACACACTGCACACAGTATCCAAATGAAGTAATAGAAGATAAGGCTGCATTTGAACTCTTTCTGCAATGATCTCCAATAGGACAGACACTGTGGCTGTTCCAATATCCACCTACAACATAGTCATGATGTGTTTCTCTGCTTGTGTGACTGACCACCGCAACAGCTGATGACTTCTTCACACATTACCTTAGCACTGTGTGCACAGCTGTTGTCATAGGCTGTTATGAGCTGCTCTGTCTGTTCACAGTGGCATTATGAATGTTTAATGAATGCTTGTGTAGGCCTATGTCTCAAGCGAGTCTAGCTAAGGCTCTTGGGAACGTTATACAGTTGCAAGTTGATTGTTATGTTGTGCTACTAGCTCTAAAGAGCCTGCCCCTGCTCCTTCCACTCAAAACGTCAGTCTGGTTTTTGATCCATTTGAGCTCTGTCACATTTTGTTATCCGGCAGCCATGAAGAGAATACTTCAGTAACAACTACCAAGCTCTCTCTGAGCTTGTTTGTTTGTATGTCTGTGTTGACATTGCCTCCCTCGGCCACATGCTTCACACCAGTGCCTGTTTGGTCAGGAAGACTGAGTTCTGATCACATTACAGATACACACGACAGTAGCCTAAGCCTGTCTTCATAAGTCCCCTGTAGCTCAGTTGGTAGAGCATGGCGCTTGCAACGCCAGGGTTGTGGGTTCGTTTCCCACGGGGGGCCAGTATGAAAATGTATGCACTCACTAACTGTAAGTCGCTCTGGATAAGAGCGTCTGTTAAAATGACTAAAAAATAAATAAATAAAGTGTCTCGAAGTAGGAATGCTGATCTAGGATCAAGTCCCTCCTGTCCATATAATATTATTTATTATGCTCAAAAAGACAACTGATCCTAGATCAGAACTCCTTTGTGAAAAACTGCCCCTGTTAAGTAGCACCTCGACAAGAGGGCTCAGACACCTAACAGAAATACAAGTCTGTCTCTAATACAAATGGAAACGGTTTTCCAACCCACTCTATAGCAGTCTCCCTCCCTATCTGACAGAGAATCTGACCTGGCTGCCCTGTGGGCCGTGGCTCAGACACATAATACAGTATTGTATAATAACCACTTTGACAAATGGGACTGGTGTGACTTAGGGGCAGATCTGCAGGAGGATCCATCTAAGATAAGAGAGAGGTTAACTGGAGGTTAGAGTAGGGGAACTATCCCTTTAAGAGGAGATACATAGGTGGTGACTTTTCAATGTAAGAGGAGAACACAGAAAGGTGAACTATTAATTTAAAGCAACAATCTTAGACTTGTGTTTCAGCCTAATTCAGCCCTGCCACATAAAGGTATAGTTCACCCAAATTACAAAATGACCAATATTATAATTTTTTCACGCATCATGTTCAAATCAACTATAAGTGACTTTGTTGAGCTTCACAATCAATTTGAGATACTTTCAGATGATTTAGACATGATGTGCGAAAAACTTTAATATCGGTCCAATGACTTGAATGGGATTTGTGCCACAAATGTTAAAATGTTAGCATGTGGAAACAGTTCCAGGGAAACTAAATCAAAGCATGGACTGCTGTCATACCTTGTCCATAGACTGCTTACAGGGTAAGGAAACCAATGTTTCATTTAGTAATTTGTGTGAACTATCCCATTAAACTGAGATGGGGCTGGGAAATGTTAATTACAAAAACGGCTACAAATATCCCAGATGGCACCTTTAAGAAAATCATACAGAAGGAGCCCAACGTTCATCAGAGCTGCTCCCCTATAAAAGCTTATAGTGGTTTGTGCAACTGAACAAATTACATTTACAAAAGGTACAGAACAGGGGCCCTTTCTTACAAAATGTAACCCTACCTAAATATGTACCGTGTGAGTATGTGTCAGTCTATAGATATGTTCTGTGAATATACAGGTTAGGGAATGTGATGTCATGCTTATAAAACACAAACTTAGATGATTAACCTAGAGATAATGTAACAAGTATCATTGTAACACTGCCAAAAGATAGTCTTTATACCGTATTTACCATAGTTAACCCTAGAGTGACCTATTATCTGATTACAATACTTATAACAGGAGCCCTAGCTCAGTGTTTGATTGAATACCTCAAGTATATACTGTAGGTTGAGAAGAACCAGCAGAGAATGGATCAAAAACAAAAACATCTCTTAATGTGTATAATCCTTTAAAGGGATAGTTCAGTATTTTGGCAATGTCTACTTCCCCAGTCATTTGAACTCGTGGATACAATTTTTTTGTCTCTGCGTTCAGTTTGAAGGAAGTTGCTAACTACCGTCAGCAGTGCTAGCCGTTCCTGTAGACTTCCAGTCATTGCGCAAACGTTAGTTAGCATTGTCTCATGAAACTACCCCTAACTTCCTTCATACTGGACGCCTAGACATAAAAATGGTATCCACAAGTACGTCTGACTCCGAGGAAGTAGATGAAGGGCTTCATTGTCAAAATCCCAAACGATCCCTTTATGTGTTGAACTGAGAGACAGTTATATAAATATAATTAATTCTATCCATGAATCCTATTTCTATGGAGACAGTGCTGTAAGCATAAAATAAACTCTTCCTACACAATGCTTTCACTGACTCCTAATGACAACCAGCTTTAAATCATACGCCTATAATACCCAGATCAGGTGGGTCTGTGAGATACGAGGGGTATTCAACAAAGCAGGATCAATGAGTTAGCCAGCTAACTTGCCAAACTATTTTTTATTTTAAATTTTTACAAAGATAAGTTTGAAACATGCATGGTCTAAATTAGTCAACAGCAACACATATCTATGTTTAGCTTTCTTAATGGACCAGAAAATCAATAGTTATTTTGGGTTGTTTATTGAAGTTAGCTGGCTAACTCATTGATCCTACTGTGTAGTATACCCCTCTGGACTGAAAAGCTGTCAACTTAGTGGGAGCCAAGTTACTCTCTAGGGAAGAAGAAACACTGAAACATTAAAAACACAGAATGAGAGCAGTTGCCTCGCCCTTGATTCTGTTGGGCCCAAAGAAAAGCGGCCATTTTGAATGTAGTGTTGAATGAGAGGCATTCAGGCCTGTTACTGCCGGTTACATACACTACATGACCAAAAATATGTGGACACCTGCTCGTCGAATAACTCATTCCAAAATCATAGGCATTAATATTGAGTTGGTCCCCGCTTTTGCTGCTATAACAGCCTCCACTCTTCTGGGAAGGCCTTCCATTTTACAGTTGGCACTATGCATTCGGGCAGGTAGTGTTCTCCTGGCATCCGCCAAACCAAGATTAATCCATCGGACTGCCAGATGGTGAGGCGTGATTCATCACTCCAGAGAATGAGTTTCCACTGCTCCAGAGTCCAATGGCTTTACACAACTCCACCCGACACTTGGCATTGCACATGGCGATCTTAGGCTTGTGTGCGGCTGCTCGGCCATGGAAACCCATTTCATGAAGCTCCCGACAAACAGTTATTGTGCTGACGTTGCTCACAGAGGCAGTTTGGAACTCTGTAGTGAGTGTTGCAACCGAGGACAGATGATTTTTACGTGCTACGCGCTTCAGCACTCTGCGGTCCCGTTCTGTGAGCTTATATGGCCTACCACTTCGCGGCTGAGCCGTTGTTGCTCCTAGACATTTCCACTTCACAATAACAGCACTTACAGTTGACCGGGGCAGCTCTAGCAGGGCAGAAAGTTGACGAACTGACTTGTTGGAAAGGTGGCATCCTATGACTGTGCCACGTTGAATGTCACTGAGCTCTTCAGTAAGGCCATTCTACTGCTAATGTTTGTCTATGGAGGTTGCATGGCGGTGTGCTCAATTTTATACACCTGTCAACAACGGGTGAAGCTCAAATAACAGAATCCACTAATTTGAAGGAGTGTCCACATACTTTTGTATATAGATAACCAAAAATGACTTGAATGACTAGATATAAATATGGTTGGTAGTAATAATTTGTTTACTATTAGATATCCCAGGCAATCAAGACTGCTACGTCTAAATAGCCAACAGCACTGTTATGGGCTTAATATGCAGCCCTACCCATCTGATGAGAAAGGTGTATATATAGTTGTGCTGTCATGTTGACTCCTTGTCACTCATTGTCATGCCAAACAAAAACATTGTTTGGATTGACAAGGACAGCGATGGAGTAGACAAGAGAACAAACAGATGTGGGACTATTGTTGAGCAATAATGCGGGCCCATCAACCAGGGCCTGTAGTCATAAAGAGTAGGGATGTGCATCTTTCCCTTTCAATTTCAATTCTATATTTATCTAGATACATGGGCTCGGATACGATACAGGAACGGAACGTTTTAGTTTGAAAAGATTCAGTGCGATAAGATGCTCTAACATTTGTTGCATAAACATTCATTTTCCATTCTAAATTAAAATCGGCTGCCGATGGAGCGCATGAGCTGGGCCTCTCTGAGCTGGATCAGTCTTAGCTGCCTTCTCTGTCTGTGTGTGTGTGTCAGGGTTTCTGTTAGCCGGCAATTGGCTGATAAATGCCGATATAGAAAACGGATCCCGCCGGGAGAAGAAAATCCCATAGCAAAATAACTAATTGATGGAAATATTAGTCGATACATTTGACCGTCATGCTTATGGGTCTATAGGTTAATTTTCATAATTTAGTGGAATTAAATTGTGTGTATTTTCATTAGTCAGCATATTTTGAGCGGGAAAAGAAAAGAATGCTTTATAAGCCCATTCCTTGTGCAACAATTCTAAATGCAATCGTGTGTTAAAAACAGTTTTGTGCACAATTAAAATAGCTACTATTTTTATTTCTCAACTGGTAATTGAAGCGTGCCTCCCATTCACTATTCAAGTGCAGGCAACAGGATATCAGCGCGTCACCCACCACTTTACAATGTGACTCATTGTACTGCCTCACTATCAGATTACGGGGGGGGGGGGGGACAATGTATGCTTTTTTTCTCCCAACACTTTTAAAGATTTTAAATCACCATCACCCACTTGTCATTTTTCCAAATTAAAAGTGTTTGAGCTAGTAATGTATCAATATTTATGAATATATAGCACAACTTTGGATTTCACCCCCGTCTCAAAATGAATGGTTTTGATCGTTTGGAAGTTTTTAGAGAGCAAGCTTCAATTACTATTTACCTGTGAATAAATACATGAAACGGAGAATGGATTAAACTATTTACCCATTTAACCTTCATACAAATTTGCTATGCTCAATTCTTGACGCACAACCGAACATGCTGCTATATGCTGCCTGCACGCCCACAAGCGAGCCAATCTGGGCGGCCGTAGTGGCAAGTTACCGCTGTATAGTCTACAGTGGCAGAGGAAGAAGCGAAGAGAGAGGGTTTACTCCACCCAAAATCTGTCCACGAAAATAAGACCACGAAGTGAGGACATTTTGTATGGAGATCAATGAGAGTGTCGAATTTGGTCAACAAAACATTGAATTGCTAATTTGCTACTTGAAGCTTAATTGATCGAATATTAGTTTTCGAAATGGTTAGGTTGTTACAAATGCACTGATATACGTGGACGCAAGTGGCATTTCACAACTTTGAAAAAAACGTTATATTGGATTTATGCCTGTTGTTCACACGCGTATCTGCCCTCTCAATGGTAACGGACCCACCTGAACTTCCTCCCACCTGTGCTCCACTGAGAAACTTTGTGAATACAAGCCCAGGTATCACTAAGAGTAAGTACCACTAAGAGGACAAAACAAACAGAACAGAGAAAAAATATATAGCAGCAACAACCACTCCAGGAGAGTCTCAGAGGAGAGTCGATGTGTGTGTCGCAAATGGCACCCTATTCCCTATATAGTGCACTACTTTTGACCAGAGCCCTATGGGTAATAGTGTGCTATAAAGGGAATAGGGTGTCATTTGGGATGCAACCAGTGTGATGATCAGATCAGGGGGGGATTATAAAACCTACAAGGTTCACAAGTCTGATACTGATACTAGTTCCCCCTCAGAATGGAAATAGAGGTTGTGGTGCCAAGTTAGCCTTGGTGCCAGTCTGTTTCTGCCGGCTTGTCAACACCTTATGGAATTGTCATGCAAAATGTTATGCTTGACAATGACAATGTGGTAGGCAAAAGCACAAACAGATCTTGGACAAGGCTAGCGCCAAGTTCTTGAAGAAAAAGGAAAGCAGTGACACAGCCTACTTACCAGCTGTGCTTACATACAGTGCTGTAATCGTTCTCATTGATAGACTCGAGGGCTAGGTACTTCAGGAGAACCTTCTGAGGACATTTGAATTTGTAGAATGTGCTTGCAGTCATTTCTTTACAATCGAGCACATCTCTATAATTGAAGTGACTCAGACCATGCCTGGTATGCCTGGTAGTTGATAAATAGCGATTTTTCACAGCCAGGTATGAAGAAACCTGGATCAACTAGAACTGATTCTCTCAGCTAGATTTGATTTGCTTTCCTCTCTCCATGCGAAATACTTTAATTTCTCTGAGAGCTAAAACATGAGTTTCATTGGTTCATGGTTGTGCTCAGTCTAAATGTTGTTTAGTTGTCCGTAGGGATGCACGATATATCGGTATCGGCATATAATGGCTTCCCTAGTTTTTTGTTCTTTGTTTTTGTATGTTGACAATTAATTATTTGCTGCACTGCTCATCTCACTATAGTCAGTAGTTTAATTCTGCAGAGTTTACTTGATAACAACAACATTTGTGATGAATAGCCTCCTGTAACCATGGGAGCTTCACTTAACCTATTCTGCTACAATACATTTAGTTAGTGGAAGACAAACGAAACAAACAGGATGAATGAATCTCTTAAGTGAAAAAACTAAAACGATAGACAGAATAGGTTGACAGAATTGTTGTTCTAGTCCCTAACATTGAGAGAGACCTGAGGTATTGAGGTACCTGAACTAAGCTACTAACAGACCATACGAGCCATACTCTTCCAGAGAAGTCGTTCCATGTTATTTCAGCAAGCTATGACACCCACCATCTCAGATTGTTCTCAAATGTTTCTGTAGTAAGAAACAGGTAAGATAGGTATTTCTGAAACATTCTTTTGTTAACATTTTATTTTATCTTGGAGAAATTAGGCTAATTAATTGCACCCAAATTCAGAAAGTATTCAATAAATATATTACCCAACATCCGATGTGGACCAAACTTCTTCCTACCAATGAGTAAGACATGAGGAATCCCCCCCCCCCCAAATGAAAAAGCCACCCACGCACCCCCCACACCAATCCCACCCCAACAACCAGTATTCAGTATCAGTTCTCCATGTTTGACAAGTAGTATGAAGCTGCGGCTTTGAATATTTCCACACTATGTAATGTATTCCCTATGAAACTGGTGATGTTTTTTCCCCCCTGATAGTATAGAAGTCGTTTGCATTATTACCATAAAGTAGTGTGAACGTACTAGGTGTTGACCACTAGATGCCACTGTTCCTGCTATACTGCCACACTCATGCATTTTGCTGGTCTCTTGTGTTTATTATAATCACAACATTTTCTTTGCAACTTTGGGTAGAAATCCAATATATTTGTCTCATGATTAAATAAATTGTGTGATCATCCTCACAATTCAAGCCAGTCCTCCTCCTTTTACGCTTAATCTGTGTCCAGGAAATTGCCCCTTTGTTTGTGGTTTATTCCCTTCAAAAAAGGTCTGGATTAGTTACTGTTAGACCATTCCTGGTGAACAAGCAAACCATTAGGCTACAGCTGTTCTAATGGTTTCAATGTTATGCTCTCTAATGGTCTTCAATGGTAAAAGTCCCAAACACACACTGTATAGTTCTTTGCAATTGTAATGGTATTGGGTTGCGTTGGGTTTAATGGTAAATGTCACTAATCACAATACATATAGAGCTGTTTCCTGATCATTTTATTGAAACACATAAGACTGCCATGCAATTAATTACTTTATTAGGGCTGTCACAACATTTTAGTCCCTAGTCAATTTCTCCATCAAGATTTGGGCTTGTAGGAAAAGTCTTCATATGAGAATTGCATTGGGATAGCCCTCTCAGAGAGCAGCCACTTGTTAGACTATTCAAGGAGAGTTGGTTTTCAGCATTAAGTTGCTATTAGGACAAACTGAATTGCTTTCATGAAGGATTGGCTTGAATTGTGAGGATGACCACACCATTTATTTTCATAATGAGACAAATCTATTGGTTTCTACCCAATGTAGTGATGTATTTAATATACATAAGAGACCAGCAAAATTGATAAAAGAGTGGCGGTATAGCAGCAACAGCGGCATTTAGTGGTAAAAACCAGTTACTTTCACACTACTTTATAGACTGGTTGGCTGATAACGCATCGTTGTGGCCGGAAGCCATGCTTTGCAATGATTCTGAAACGGTGAGATAACTAGCAACAATGACAAGAAACTGCCACGTGGGGAATCGTAGGTGTCTCATTTCAGCTAGTTATATTTTGTTCTTGAGACCATGTCTTGTTTTGAGGTGTTTTGACTTATTTCATGTCAATGCTAATATGGCTCAAATTCGCAAGCTAGCTATCTAACAACTGTAACAATGTATTTGAGAGTCAACAGGTGCTCATTGTGCAAATGTATTTATGTGTTCAACAAACATTTGGAGACAAACATAGTTTACATGTTGTCAACAATCTAAGCCAACCCCGTCTGTTTATCCCCATAGTTGGGCACGCGTCACTTTTGTTGCTAAACAACCAACCCGTCTAATGTAAATAATGCAAGCGACTTGAATTACTAATTTCTCTGAACGGGGGGGGGGGGGGGGAACATTACCAGATGCGCAGCGAATATATTACATAGTATGGAGAAGCAATACTCCAAGCCACAGCTTCATACTACTTGTCAAACATAGAGAACTGATACTGTATACTGGTTGTTGGGGTGGGATTGGCATGGGGTGTAGGGGGTCCGTGGGCCTTTGACAATTTTCTGGGGACGCATTGGTAGGAAGATGTTTGGTCCAAATCGGATGTTGGGTACTATATTTGCTGACTATTATCTGAATCCTATAAATTAAAATGGTCAATTTGGATGCAATCAATTAGCTTAATATCTCAGAGATCAAATTATATTTCAACAAAATAATGTTACAGGAATGCTAATCCTATCTCCTCTTACTACTACAGAAACAATTTCAGAACAATCTGGTGGTCCTCTTTCTTGTGCTTTTTGAGGTGGAACGACTTAGAGCAGAGCCGCACTCAGATTTCCATTCTGAAGGGGGATTGGCTCAGACAAAGCTCTGCCGACGAATCAGAGTACAGGCATTTCCAGGAAGACGGGAGGGTGGGAGGGGCCACAAACAACTTGACCTATCAGAGATCCCCCAGCCCCCTTCCCAAGCCTTCAAGACTAGCATAATGTTACCAGCCACTAGACACTGATCTAGGGACAGTATTTTGCAGTTCTTGCCCTAATGGTTAAGGTTAGGGGTTGGGTGAGAGTAAGCTGATCCTAGATCTGTGCCAGTGGGCAACTTTAAACTGTAACCCATCTCCAGTGGTGTAGGAAGTGTCTCCTCTCACTGACCAATGATCTTGTCCGTCAATCTCTCACTGACCAATCACAGAGTCTAGCCACTTCCTGTATGCAAGGGCGAAGCATCCCTGCTCGGGGGAGCGGCAGTCTTCCAGGACGCTGGCTACGAAAACGTGCTCTGAGGGCAGGGCGGGGGGGCAGGGGCCAGGGGGACCCCTCTTCAGACGCTTGGTGTCGCGGGGGTCCTGGACCCCGACCCCGTCCACCTCCATGGCATCCTGACCCTCCTGAGCCTGTCCGTTCCTGCTCTCCACCCTGTCTAGACCCACTCCTCTAGGGGAGGCTGTGTGAGGGTGGCTGCTCAGTCCAGCGTCGGTGTGGTTCAGCTGGGGAGACTCCCTGCCACAGCCCTGGCCATTGTGGTGGTCGTGGTCCCGTCTCCAGTGGTGCCAGAGGTAGAAGACGTGTCGCCTGGAGACAGATAGTGGTTAGGAAATAAAGTGTTGGTTTTGATGTCATATAGTAAACTGCAATGATTGAAAAACTGGATTTCTAGGATCTGTAGAATTGTGAAGCTAAAAAACATTTTATGTTGAAACCACATTATGTTTTTAAGGGGAAAAGATGCCACTCTAGACAAAAATAACAATATCCTCTAAGATATTACTGAGTCATGACCATCTTGGCCAAATCCATTTATACAGTGGGGGAAAAAAGTATTTAGTCAGCCACCAATTGTGCAAGTTCTCCCACTTAAAAAGATGAGAGAGGCCTGTAATTTTCATCATAGGTACACGTCAACTATGACAGACAAAATGAGAAAAAAATTTTTTCCCAGAAAATCACATTGTAGGATTTTTAATGAATTTATTTGCAAATTATGGTGGAAAATAAGTATTTGGTCAATAACAAAAGTTTCTCAATACTTTGTTATATACCCTTTGTTGGCAATGACACAGGTCAAACGTTTTCTGTAAGTCTTTACAAGGTTTTCACACACTGTTGCTGGTATTTTGGCCCATTCCTCCATGCAGATCTCCTCTAGAGCAGTGATGTTTTGGGGCTGTCGCTGGGCAACACGGACTTTCAACTCCCTCCAAAGATTTTCTATGGGGTTGAGATCTGGAGACTGGCTAGGCCACTCCAGGACCTTGAAATGCTTCTTACGAAGCCACTCCTTCGTTGCCCGGGCGGTGTGTTTGGGATCATTGTCATGCTGAAAGACCCAGCCACGTTTCATCTTCAATGCCCTTGCTGATGGAAGGAGGTTTTCACTCAAAATCTCACGATACATGGCCCCATTCATTCTTTCCTTTACACGGATCAGTCGTCCTGGTCCCTTTGCAGAAAAACAGCCCCAAAGCATGATGTTTCCACCCCCATGCTACACAGTAGGTATGGTGTTCTTTGGATGCAACTCAGCATTCTTTGTCCTCCAAACACGACGAGTTGAGTTTTAACAAAAAGTTCTATTTTGGTTTCATCTGACCATATGACATTCTCCCAATCCTCTTCTAGATCATCCAAATGCACTCTAGCAAAACTTCAGACGGGCCTGGACATGTACTGGCTTAAGCAGGGGGACACGTCTGGCACTGCAGGATTTGAGTCCCTGGCGGCGTAGCGTGTTACTGATGGTAGGCTTTGTTACTTTGGTCCCAGCTCTCTGCAGGTCATTCACTAGGTCCCCCCGTGTGGTTCTGGGATTTTTGCTCACCGTTCTTGTGATCATTTGGATCATTTGATCATTTGACTTGCATGGAGCCCCAGATCGAGGGAGATTATCAGTGGTCTTGTATGTCTTCCATTTCCTAATAATTGCTCCCACAGTTGATTTCTTTAAACCAAGCTGCTTACCTATTGCAGATTTAGTCTTCCCAGCCTGGTGCAGGTCTACAATTTTGTTTCTGGTGTCCTTTGACAGCTCTTTGGTCTTGGCCAGAGTGGAGTTTGGAGTGTGACTGTTTTAGGTTGTGGACAGGTGTCTTTTATACTGATAAGTTCAAACAGGTGCCATTAATACAGGTAACGAGTGGAGGACAGAGGAGCCTCTTAAAGAAGAAGTTACAGGTCTGTGAGAGCCAGAAATCTTGCTTGTTTGTAGGTGACCAAATACTTATTTTCCACCATAATTTGCAAATAAATTCATAAAAAATCCTACAATGTGATTTTCTGGATTTTTTTTCCTCAATTTGTCTGTCATAGTTGACGTGTACCTATGATGAAAATTACAGGCCTCTCTCATCTTTTTAAGTGGGAGAACTTGCACAATTGGTGGCTGACTAAATACTTTTTCCCCCACTGTAAATAATCTTCTAACTTTCTACAGCCTTCAGCCATCAGTTAGCAACCATCTGAACACTGTTACCATGGCACCCCTTCTTTCTCCCTACCACAACAAAGCTGGTCAGTAGGGCTGGGTAATATGACCTAAAAATCATATCTCGATTTTTTTTTTTTTACTAATGTGCGATTCAAAAAATATATATATATATATATATATATATATATATATATATATATATATATATATATATATATATATATATATATATAGAGAGAGAGAGAGAGAGAGAGAGAGAGAGAGAGAGAGAGAGAGAGAGAGAGAGAGAGAGAGAGAGAGAGAGAGAGAGAGAGAGAGAGAGAGAGAGAGATTTTTAAAATATTTTCTCTAAATAAGCTTTGTTGTACAATTAAAAGGTAAAATAAACTGCATTTCAAACAGTCAGCAATAATCTAATGAATTCAGGGCTTATGAAATTATACCTAGGCTAAATATAAGCCTTCCACAATCATAAGACCCACTAATAATTGTATTATTTTATTTAAATAGTTTAACCTGCTTTTTTGCAATAATCACTGATCTGGCTTTCAAGTCAATCTATGAAAATGCCCTTTTTGTAAAGTAAAAATAAATAAAAATAAAAATCACCAGAACCATGCATAATTCCCTGCCTGCTGTTTCCTTGGCGTTGGTGGGGAAGCTTGTGTGTTTCAGTGATCCTGAACGCTATACTGGTGGGGTTTCGGCCCCAGGCAGGTTCAACCATGCCGGGCAGGTTCCAGGTCAGAAGCCAGACTAAACACAGCACCTGGCCCTCCAGGTTGGGGGTTGGGCGTGGGGCTAACAAACCCACCCCGTAAAAACACACATCGTTACAGAAACTGCAATAACAACTTTGAAAACTACACAAGGGACCCAACAGGAAACTCCAGTCAATCCATAGGCACTATGACAGCTTTAGATGAAAGCCCCACCCGGGAAATCAGGAGCTTGATAACACGTTTTCTAGGGCCCAAAACTACAGTCCGTCTTGGAGAATGGAACGCCCGCACCATGTTTGAAACTTCATGACAGCTCAAGTTATCAGACAGATGGACAGATAAAACGTGAATATCCGGTGTGTAAGCGAAAGCAGATGGACTGGTTCTGGACGCAAGGTGAAAAGCGATGGCTCAACAATAATTCAGGAAAGGATGATTCCAACTCCAGTGGTCTAGCCCTCATTATCAGCAGAACAACTGCCAAATCACTATTGGAATGGGAACCCATCAGTGACCGGCTCATCAGAGCAAGATTTGACTCCAAGTACAGTTCACCATCCTGCAATGTTATTCCCACACCAACGAGGCAGAGGAGGAGGACAAGGAAGACTGATACGAGCAGCTACAACAAGCAGTATCCAAGGTCCCACAACACAACATGGTCATAACGGTGGATTTGAATGCCAAGGTTGGAGCCGATAACACAGACTGTGAACAGGCTATGGGGCAACAACAACAACAACAACAACAACAGTGAATAACATCTGTGTGATTGGTGGCACACAATTACCTCACAAAGACATCCATAAGCTAACATGGAGATCCCCAGATGGTCACACCGTCAACCAAATTGACCACATCATTATCAATAAGAAATGGCGAAGGTCTCTGCAGGATGTCAAGGTCCACCACGGGGCAGATGTCCACAGTGACCACTACCTGGTAATAGCCAAGGTCAGGCTGAAGCTGTGAGCCACACACATACACAACACAACAAGGGCAGAAAGTCTTTGACATCAACAAGCTCACATCTCCTGAAATAAAGAAAGCTTTTACCATCGAGCTAAGAAATCGCTTCAGTCCATTAACCAATGCAGAGGAACACCAGGGCACAGTTGAAACCATGTGTAGTAACATCAAGAATGCGTACACAGAAACAGCAAAGAAAGTGATTGGCTTTAGAAAGAAGGGCAAGAAGTGGTTAACACAAGATACATGGAAGAACATAGATGAGAGAAGGCTGGCCAAAGAAAAACTGCTGAGCGCAAAATCACCCAGGCTGATTGAGCGAGCACAGCAAGAATATAAGACCAAGGACAAATAAGTAAAAAAGAGCGCTGGAAGGGATAAGAGAGCCTTTGGACAGGAATTGGCCAGTGAGGCAGGACACTGCAGCAAGAGGAGAACTAAGCACTGTATCTAAGATCACAAGACAGCTATGTGGCCAAGTTAGCAACCACACAATGCCAGTCAAAGACAAACAAGGTAAAATGTTAACAACCAAAGAGGAACAAACTGCAAGATGGGTCCAGCACTTTGAAGAGGTCGTCAACTGGCCAAAGTCTAATGATCCAGCAGACCAACCAACCTCGGATGAGATTGATGGTATTGACACCGACCCACCAGTTGAAGCAGAGGTCCAAGCAGCCATCAAGGCTATGAGGACTCTCTGCAGGCTGAGCTACTTAAATCTGATGTCAACACAGCTACCAAGGTGCTGACTGATCTCTTTCGCAAGATCTGGGAGCACGATGTCATACCACAAGCCTGGAGAAAAGGCCTTATCGTCAAACTGCCAAAGAAAGGAAACCTCAGTGAATGTGACAACTTGCAATGTATAACACTCCTTCTGCAGGATATTTAAAAGGATTGATATTGCTGTCGATGACAAACTCAGACAAGAACAAGCAGGGTTCTGCAAAGGAAGAGGATGCATTAACCAGATTTTTGCCCTGCGCAACATCATCGAGCAGTGCCTCGAGTGGAATGCACTCCTCTACATCAACTTTATTGATTTCAAGAAGGCATTCAATAGTGTTCACCGTGAGAGCTTATGGAGGATCCTTGGAGCCTACGGAATACCACCTAAGATTGCCAACCTCATTGGGAAGTTCTATGAACACTTTGAATGTAGCATCATCCTTGATAGTTCTCTCACAGAGTCATTTCAAGTCTGGTGTCAGACAAAGCTGTATCCATTCTTCAATCCTTGTTCTTGTTACCATCGACTGGGTAATGCGTCAAACAACATCTGACAATGCTCGAGCAATCCAGTGGACCCTCTTCTCCCATCTAGAGGACCTTCACTTTGCTTATGATTTGGACCCTATCTCATCTAAACACATCCACCTCCAGGAGAAGTCAGACAGACTCTGCATGTATGCTAAACAGACTGGTCTCCATATCAACATACAGAAGTACCAAG